AAGGCATTCGCCTACTTTTTTCACGTGCTTTAGAAAGATGACACATTGGAAGATTCCTCAGGTATAAAAACACAGCACTCAGTTTGAATGATATATATGTACCACCTTGGGATGCTGTAAGAATATCTAAGGCCATTCTATTGAAGGACAGCCTTTCTCATTAAAGACATTTCAGTCTATTCCTGTTTGACTACTGTTAAGGGCTTCTGTATGTGATATGACATCTTCTAGCCTCAAAGAAGGAACAAACATAGCTAGCTGCTCAGTGGCCATACCAGTGGAACACTGAATGAGTCCATCTGACCTTAAAAAGAGGGAGATTGGCAACAGGTGTTAGCTCAGTCTGAATCCACCCCTGCATCCAAGGGAAGCTCAGGGTGCAGTGTTTTAGCCATCCAGGCAGTAGCCAAGGCCAGAGATTTGTTCCACATAACCACTGAGTTCCATTAGGAGCCGCCCAATAAATGCCTGGCCTTCAAGACCAGTCTGTTCCAAATCAGTCACTTTCATCAAGTATGATAGTGATGCGGGCTCCGTGAGCCAAGGAGTTGAAAGAAAGATTTCTTGGACTCTCAAGGTCTGGTAGTAGTGCTCCTTTATTCAGAGAATAGGATGGGGCAGCATGGGGACAGGACCCACAGGCAGTGAAGAGCTGCAATGGGTTGAGGGCAGGGCTAAATTTATAAGGCATAGGTATGTGAGTTATTTCTTTACAAGATAAAGGAAAGATCATGTAAAAAAGTCGTTAAAATGGTATCAGGGCAGGTGGGGTCTGGTTATCAGGTGGTCCTATAACTTTGGACATGAGTCAGGTTGAATCAGGTCAGGACGTCCTATGCTTCCTGGAGGACGAGCTAGATCAGTATGCAGGGCAGGACGCCGTGGGCTTCTCTCCCTGGGGCAGCCTTGATCTGCATCAAAAGTATTTTGAGGGGCCGGCCCTGTGGCCGGATGGTTAAGTTTGCGTGCTCCACTTAGGTAGCCAGGGTTTCGTCGGTTCGGATCCTGGGCATGGACGTGACACCACTCATCAAGCCATGCTGAGACAGCGTCCCACATGCCACAACCAGAAGGACCCACAACTAAAAATATGCAACTGTGTACCAGGGGGCTTTGGGGAGAAAAAGGAAAAATAAAATCTTTAAAAAAAAGGTATCTTGAGGGGCTGGCCCCGTGGCCGAGTGGTTAAGTTCGCGCGCTCCGCTGCAGGCGGCCCAGTGTTTCGTTGGTTCGAATCCTGGGCGCGGACATGGCACTGCTCATCAAAACCACGCTGAGGCGGCGTCCCACATGCCACAACTAGAGGGACCCACAACGCAGAATATACAACTATGTACTGGGGGCTTTGGGGAGAAAAAAGGAAAAAAATAAAATCTTTAAAAAAAAGTATTTTGAAACCTTAAATGGAACAATTATAAAATAGGGATACAGTTTAAGCATAACAAAGGTTAAATAAGGAGATACAAGGTTCGGGATACAGACCTGGTCTGGAGGCTTGGGGCAGCCGCCTACAGCGGATGCCGTCTGCTTCTCCTCCTGGTTTGGAGATATTTGCATTGGTCAGTTGCAGTCGGGTATCAGAAATAGGAACTGAAATCCACTCAGGTGGAGAAGCCTTTTTTAAATGAGAAATGTGAATCCATGAGCCTTTTGATTCTGCAGTGCATGAATCTGTTAAAAGTACCTGGTATGGTCCCTTCCAACAGGGCTGCAAAGAGTCTTTTATTTGATGCCTCTTCCAATAAATCAATTCTCCAGGTTATAGTCCATGATCCTTAAGGTCTGGGAGCTCTTTACGAAAAAACTCAGCTACCAACCTCTCTCTCTCTCTCTTTTTTTAAGTGTCTCAATGAGACCCTGACAGTAATTAAGATATTTCCTTTAAGCAAAGTTGGTTCATACATTTCTTTGTCTAATTGCATAGGCTGTCCAGTTATTATCTTGGAAGGAGACAGCCAATGTTTACCAAAGGGTGTAGATCTGAGATTAAGGAGCACTAACTGAAGAACTTTTGGCTGTGAGAGTAAATGCTTCTGAAAGCTTTGCCAATTGAGTTTTGATTATGTCGTTAGTTCTTTCTACCAATCCTGAGGATTGGGGGTGGTAAGCCCAGTGGAAATGCTGCATTATTGGCCAAACATTACAAATAGATTTAATTATTTGTCCAGTGAAATGAGTTTCGCGGTCACAGTGTAAAGCAGTAGGAATTCCCCAAACAGCAATTATGCTCTCCAATACTAATGTGTCTAAAGCCATCGCTCTTCTGCAAGGAGCGGCCTCAACCCAGTGTGAGAACACATAGAGTACTGCAAGATATATTTATACCCTTGAGATGGTAGAGTTTGGACAAAGTCCAATTGCCATACCTCAAAGGGTCCCTTAGGAAGGGAAAGTGGCCTCGTGACTCATGAAGTGGCTTCTCTAGATTATACTTTGGGCATGTAGCACAACAGGTAGAGGCTATATGAGCCACTGGGAGAAAGTTTCCAAAAGTATTGGTTTCCCCCTTTTGTTACCACCTTTATTTCTTTTCTTCCTTGGTGAGTTCTTGAGCCTACAGAAGGAAACCTCTTAGTGGGTCAGCAGAGTTCACAGAAAGTAGCAGACATTCTCGAGGCTGGACAGCACATCCAGCTTTGTAACATCCGTGCTTACAGTTTAAGTAAACCAATTAATAATAGGGTGCAGTCGTGTTCTTTTGTTCTTGTGATGTTGGAAGCAAGGTAGCAAGGTTATAATAGTGAATAATATTTACCTACACAATATAACCTAAGAAGGTTTGTCATCATTTACTTGACAGTGCTTCCCATGCAATTCCACATACCAAACAAGCCTAATTAGTATCTCTCCTTTATAGGAAGAAAGAACACATTTCTTTGAGAAGTCCCAGGGCCCCTCTGAAAAGTCTCAAAGAAGAAAGCCAAAAAAGACTCCACTTAGGATATGAATTTTGGGGAGCTTGTCAAAAATATCAAAATGTCTTAAAACACTTGGTCAAACAAGATCAAGTGTCTGCTAATCTTGTCACTGTGAACCAGTGCTTGGTTATCAATTCAAACAAAGTGATCACAGAAACAGTCAAGAGCAAACAGAGCATTAAAACAGTTAAATACCTTAATAGAGAGCCTTCAGTCCTATTTGAACATATGAAATTATTTTAACAAAACATAGATCTTCTGAGGCCGGCCCGGTGGCGCAGCAGTTAAGTGCGCATGTTCCACTTCGGCGGCCCAGGGTT